TTTTCGCGCAAACCCGAAGTCATTATCTCAAACCGTTTCAAAATGGCGGCCGGTCAAAGTTCAAAATGGCCGAAAATTGGCACCTCTGCTATTTGAACATGGATTTGCTTGAAACTCGGTATCAGGGGGTATTCTAGCACGGGAAAAACGAATTTGACGTTAGATTTTTAAAAAAAAAACCCTAATTTTTCAAAATGGCCGCCGATTAAAGTTCAAAACGGTCAACAATTGGCAACCTCGACTTTTTGCCGATGGATTCGCCTGAAACTCAGCTTATCGTTTTCCTCCTACCCAGATACCCTCGAACACCGAGTTCAAATATACCAACAAATATATAAATATATAAATATTACAATTATAATAATTAATGTATAAATTTTAGTTATAATGGTGCTTATATAACCATTATTAATTTCTTATACGTTTGTTAGGAAAGGGGAAAGTGAATCTTGCTACTAGGGCGTTGTCTAACGTGAAACTTGGATAAAAGCATAGTGGAAGAAACCAAGTGTGTCACTACATTGGAGGATAACGTCAAAAACTCAACTTTTCAAAAGGCGATATCTCGGTTAATATGGAACGTAGAAAGTCGCGGTTTGGACGGATCTTACTATTTTTAGCCAATCTATTAGAATCAAGCATCGACATCCAATTCTGTGACCAGTGCAACTGGTCCATTTCTGGGGGTATTTTGCAGAAGTAGAACGGACTTGAAGCTAGATTTTAGGAAAAGAAAAAAAAATCCCGTTTTCAGCCATTTTGAACTTAAACAGTTTGAAGAATCCGTTTGAAGAATCCGTTTTTAAAATCTAACTTTAAATTGATTTTTTCCTACCATAACACCCCCAGTCACCAAGTTTTAGGCAAATTCATCGGCCAAAGCTAGGGATTCAATTTGTAGCCACTTTTACTTGAAATTAAATCAAGGTCATTTTAATATAGTTTGAGCGAGCTATTGGCGTCGAATTAGCGCGCAAAGTAAACTTTTCGTTCTATGTATTTGTAAACGTTGTATCACAAGGAGGCTTTTTATATTAAATTAAGTTGAGCTTTGTTGGGGGCAAAAGGGTGCTCCCTTTGAACTAGATTTATCCTCCAAGTTTCCAATCTTTGTCTCAATTGGGTGAAAATTCATAAGGGCTATAAGGGACTTTTGCATCATCATGTATGTATCAGTTAACTTATAATTTCACTCTTGATCAGTATATCAGTTAACTATTTTATATTGGTGACTAGTCGGTGAGTTACTGTTTCACACTTGATGAATAAATCTTTTAAATGTTAAATTGGCGACCAGTAAGGTTATTTGTTTTACAAGTGACCAGTAGATTAGTGAACTAATTCCACTGGTGACCAGTTGAATTTTCTCACATGGGGCAACAGATTGAACTAACGACTAATTAACCATAAGAATTTTACTGATATCAGTTCAGTATGTTGGAGTTTTTTTAGCCAACGTGCGTTAAATTCCGCATAAAGCTGATATCTCACTCCAGAGGAAAAAAGCTCACACATAAGCACAATTTTTCCTCAAAGAAATACGCTGTTTGGTATAGCACTAGTAACAACCATTCAGGAAGGCAACTGCAGACGCGTTTCGGCCTTGTTCGGCCAATCCTCAGTGCAGTGCAGCCTCCTGAATTTTCAACTACCAAGCTCGGAGAGATCGTGAAAACCAGCCCGAGACTTGGGCTAGCGGTTGCTGGCGGTAGGTAAACTTGCACCATCTAGTGAGCGATTATCCAAACAGCTTCGCATGGGTATGCCTCGAAAAGGCGGTCTTACCTACACACGTTTCGGGAAGCGTTTCGGCCAACGTAGCGCACACCTCCAATACATGCGTTCCCCGTTTTTGCTTGTCCTCCTAAGATGGTAATCGAAAGCATTGTGAATCAATATTTTCTTTCCTTTATTTGATTCAAAAGTGTACGTTGTCATTCTTCATTTAATTTAACCTTACTGATAATTTTGATTTATTAATGAAATTGATTTAGAAAATTAACGAAAATAATAATGGAACCGGGAGATATAAAACGTTAAAAAATAACTGACAAATTTTGATGAAATATTTAACCTACTTTTTTTTCCAAAATTTCATCATTCTAAAAAGAAGAGATGCAAATTACGTAACCAGGGACACCAAACAGCTGTGGAGGAAAAAATGAAATTTGTATTTTATTTATATATTTTATATACTTTCAGTGGCCAACATAAATATTTTGACATTTTCCAAGTGGGCAAACAAACCGTAGACATTTTAATTACGTAGACATATTTGACTGTAGACAAAATTTTAGTAGGCATTTTCATGTAGACATTTTAACTGTAGACCAAAAAAGGTAGCCCTTTTTTTGGTAGCCCTTTTTCTTGTAGACCCACTGTCCGTAAACCAAGTGCACGCGTTTCAGCGCTAATGCGGAGCTGTTTGGATAGTCGCTCACTAGATAGCGCAAGTTTACTTGCCGCCAGCAACTGCTTGCACAAGTCTCGGGCTGGTTTTCACGACCTTTCTGAGCTTGGTAGGTGAAAATTCAGGAGGCTGCACTGCACTGAGGATTGGCCGAACAAGGCTGAAACGCGTCTGCAGTTGCCCTCCTGAATGGTTGTTACTAGTGTTGCATCGAATTGCGTATCTCTTTAAGAAAACATTTTGCTTGTGCGTGAGCTTTTTTCCTCTGTAGTGAGATATTAGCTTTATGCGGAATTTAATACACGTTGGCTAAAAAATTCCAACATACCGTCTTACGACTAGTGCGACCAGCGGAATCAGTTTGGGGGATATCAGTCCTGGTCATTCGCAATTTTTATGGGAGTAAATATTTTTCTTGCTTCCGAAGAATTTTTTTTCCTGAATTGTAATCAGTTATTTAATAACTAAACCGCCGCAAAAAACAATGAAGACTCGCAGGAGAAATCCAGAACCAGTATTCGAAACTGAAAGGCGCCAACGCGCCAAATGCGCTCAAGAAATTGGTTATGACGCCTAATAAATGAAGGCTCTGCGCCAGCGTTGCCTGTAAAAATTGCCCCCTACCCCTAAAAAGGAATCCTAATTTTTCTGTTTGGTGATTTTTTGAAATTTCGACGTACGGCATCGGACTCCAACTTTTCACCAAGTGCGCCATGATACATGAGCGAAAAGTCAGTTTGGCCCCTATAAATCGAGCTTGATGTGCCAATTGGCTCCGAAAACTCCAAGGTGGGTTTCGAGCACTGTTCAGAACTAAGCAAAGCCTTGTGTTGCCCTCTATTTCTCGCTTCTATTATTCGATTCCTCCACGTTCCTTTCGGACTTTTTTAAATACATGTTTGAAAAATCAATTAAAAAGATAATTTTTATGAATATACCTAGCTTGAATCATTGATTTATATATAGTTATTGGAATTTCTTTCAGGGTTCTGCACAATTACGGATTGTGGCGGTTGATCAGCACAGTGGTTGTGCCACACATGGTTGACGAATACCAACAAATAAGAACCGAGTACAAAAGAATTCTGCTGGGCATTCTGAGCGAGAGGAATCGTTGGAGCCAATGCGTCGAGTGGACAAACAAGAAACTGGGCCTTGCCGTGGGTGCTCTGTTTATAAGGGAAAACTTCAATCCAGAGGGCAAGGTTAGTATCTCTTCAACCTCCAAACTTACAAGCTTTACAATGTACCTATTGACTTGCTCTCGGTCAATCTGTATTACTGTGTGAATAACACCAGGTCTACACTATTCTGTGGGGAAGACAAGGCCAAAATGTTCCAAAAATGTCAATCCAGATCCAAAAATTTGAACTCTAACGAGTATCAGTGCAATACTGAGAGGAAGAGTCTACAGCTCAGGCAGATGCATGGGAACAAGAAGCTGCGATCCCGCCGAGAGGTCTATAACGTTTTGTATACTTGAATACCTCATCAGTCTATCACACTCGTCAGTGAGCCCAGCTTAGCATCCTGCAAAATCCTAAACGGCACTTTGTTACTAACAGTTTCTGCAACATTATAGTGATTTTCTTTGTGATAATACGGTTTTTAACACATAATTATTTACGAAGAATCTTATACTTCAACCACTTGCTGAGAATTTGGACTTGTGCAAAGAACATCAGAAGAGAGGCTGCCCAAACAACTTTTATGGGGTACCACCTAGAAGAAGGGGATGGGGTTGCTCCTTGGAAGATGACTACAAGGCGACGACGAAGAGGTCGCATTCATCTTAAAATCTGAGTAGATACTATGATTTAATTTTGAAGCTGAGCATTAGGATTTCTGAACTCCATTTGCAGAGCTTATGTTTGTTGAACAAGTCATTTTAGTTTGGCTCAAGCTAAAATAGTAAGCTTGCAGTTGAAATCTTGCTGCATTTGTTTGAAATCTTGTTGAAAGTGCCCAATCTTTAAAAAAAAATGTAGAAAAATGAACTGGAAGCAAGCCTGCAGCATGCTTGCTGCAAAAAATTTGCGAAAAGCCACCATCAAGGTTGTTGCAAGTTTGCATTGTGCTGAAAGCTTGCCTTTGGAGTGTTGCTGCAAAGTTGGTTTCCAATTTTGCTGCGAATTTGGATTGCAAACTTGCCCAAGTCCCGCAGAAATTGTGATTAAATGAGTTTGCAGCGAACTGCAAAATTACGTGAACTCTTCCGGCAATTCAAGATCAATTTCTCTCCAAGCTTGTGTAATATTTGAGAGAGTGCATTGTAGGAGCGACCTATGTATCAGATTTGTTATTTTCAGGAGTCAATATTTGGCAGTTGCACGATCTTAGCAACAAAAGCTACCCATTTCCCCCTTTTCAAGCTGTTTCCTTGTCTTTTTTATTGTTGAAAAGCTCCATGTAGCACGTTCTGAGGTATTTAGATTTATTTGGCAACATACATATCTTTCTTTGGGAGTGCGTTTCGTTTCATATCTTCTTTGCAGGATGTTTAAAAATTTACTTTCCTCCCGGATGCTTCAGATCTTCATGTAGAGTTTTCCCGGTTGAAGTTTGACCTAGACTCACAGTTCCGCACTGACGGTGATTTCAATACCTAAGTGAGGTAATGTGACTTTTGTAGTTTGGTTGTTCAATGCAATGCGTTCAAAGTGTGAGCCTTAAATGTGTTCGTCAAATTTGGAGCTGCAAGTGGAGTTGGCAAGTGAGGAGAAAGGGAGCGCCACCTTTACGATAAATATTTTTTAACTCTATGACATTTATACGTATTATTGCATACATTAGCGTTTTCCTTTTAACAGGAGACTGCAGAAGAAATGATCAAGACATTACGAGAAGCTTTTAATGAGCTTCTGGCGGAGAATCATTGGATGGATGATGAGACACGAACTGTTGCCAAAGAAAAGGCAGACAATATCAATGAAAGGATTGCTTATCCACAAATATTAACTCAGCCTGAGGAGCTAAATAAAGAATACCAAAATGTAAGTGCTAAAAGCTACAACTTCCACTCGTTCTCTTTCTATAACCAAATTCCTTGAAATGTAATTAAGACCTCTGAGAGCACAAACACAGATTAAATCCACATGCAATTTCAGGGGATCTGATTTTAGCAGGCCAATAATTGGAAAAATTGAAAGAATAGTGTTTCTTTAGATTGAAAGCATGAAATTTTCAGGGTTTCATCTTTCTTTTAGGACATTCTGTTAGCCTCAGACTCCAGAAATTCGTATTTCATGGAGGGAGGGGGCTACTTTTGAATTAATTGTAACATCAGTACTGCTAATGTCAGAGTAGGTTATTCTAAGACAAAAGAATGATGCATACTATATTTTAAGTAGGTAAAATTGGTCCGCATGCATTTCTCTGCAGGATCAAAAACTTAAGGTGCGAGACAGGAAAAACCATCGGCGAACCGAGAGCCTCTGCAGTGAGAAGGCTTGGACTGTAGATGAGTCTGCTTTATTTTGATAAACGGATGGAGATCCATTTTACCGATACCTTTTGCCTCAAGATAGTAAAAGTGTAAAGTAATGGCAGGAAGTATTCAATTAATTTTTTCAGTTGAACGTGACGGAGGACAATTTTTTGCTGAACATTTTTAACGTGCTCCGTTTCGATGCCCATCAGAATCAGCAACGCCTCCGGCGACCGGTGAATAAGGACAAGTGGACAACCGAGCCAGCCGTCGTCAATGCATTTTACAATCCCAACACCAACAACATTGGTAAAATCTCCATTAGTCATTTTTCAACCTATTGCTTTTTACGCTCAATTAAGACAAACATTTATGTGGGTGGTGCAGGACTGCTTAATGGTGATGTTGGTCTCTCAATGTTGATAAAGTTGAACCGATGAATAGCAGTAGGGTGACTAATAGATAAGGAAATGCCAAAACGTCAGGAGTAAAAAAGAAGACCAAGTCCCAGTTAAAGGAGGCAATATATAAGTATATTGAGTGTTAAGAACAAGGCTAGCCTAAGTTGTCACACCTTGCAGGGGCAAAAATTCTACATTCTATCTTACACGCTACCAACTATAGCAGAAAATTGTAAATATTGAAACTACAGATGTAACATTGACGGAACATAGAATGGTCATTTGGACTTAAACTTGTCAACAATTCAAATAAACACCGCACAATATATGTTCTTATAAAAAACCTGCAAAAATGTGGCCCAAACTGTAAATAACATTGTGGACCCAGCACTATTTTATCATCCTGTTAAAATTTTAAGGACCAGTGTGAACCCAGCTGTATTCAGAAGTTAAATTGTTTCTCTTCAAAAACTAATATAATAGAGGACTTTGTTAAAATACTGCAATTATGAAATGTCGTTTCGCACTTTCGCCATAGATATTGTACATACATATATTTAGTTACAAATTTTATATACAGGGTGTTCCAAAAGTCCCTCTAACCCCCTCTAACTTTTAAAATGTTCGAGATAAAAAATGAAACTGTGGGAATGTTTCTATCTCAAAAGGGACCATCTTCTAGGGGGTCATGATTTTTGTTTCTTCCTGGAGGGGAGGGGGGCTACCTTTTTTTCAAATGGTAGCCCCTACGTTGTGATCCTTCATTAGAAATAACATCAAAAACTAAGAATTTTGGTGTAAACTGCAAATCAATATCTTAATTTGCAAGCAGCCAAGGTCATTTGCATAAAAAATTCTCCAAAACATGGCGAAAAACTCGGTTTAATGCGACTCGCTGACGCTGAAATTGGTGGTGTAAACACCCCCCCCCTTTCACCATAAGGAAAAATTGTTCAATTTTTGAGTTCGGATGGTCTCTAGCCTATTCAGAGGAAACAATAGACTCAAAAAACCATTACAGAATCTTATAGGCGACCAACAAACCCGGGTGTCAAAACTACCAATGATACGTCGAATTGGCAACTTTGACCCCTAAAATGGGGGGTAAAACTTCGAGATAGGAAGAAACGCCCACTGACACTTTTGATCAGTAGGTTAAGACCTTCCACATATCAAAAAACCAGCCGATTCAACCGGGCCCACTTTTCCCTTAAAGCCCTGGATAGACGATCAAATTCCGAACCAATTCCGATCGAAGTAGACATACATCAGCGTGCTATGGTGACTGATTGTCACCATCTACCATCAAATTTTGACGGGCCGCACTTATTTGTTCAAAGTAAGATCAGAATGGAGTGCCACCATTCATCATTTCCTGCCACAGGAAACATTTCTGCCAAGTTTTCATTTTAAAATGAAACAAATTAATGAGTTTAAGACTGACGACTCCCGACACTTTGATGCTACTTTGATCAGAATTGGCTCGGGAATTTGATCGTCTATCCAGGGCTTAAGACCGGTCCGTCGTCCTTTGCCCAATTTTTAAGAAATCATCACTTCAATTAAAATTGGCGTAGAAAAAGTGATATAACAGGCGGATGTGATTAAATATGACTGTTGTGTGTGAAAAAACGGCCAAAAATGCTTCAAGGCATTTTCGAACCTTGAACACTTGGGGTGATACAGTAGCTTCCGAGACGCCCAAAACCGGTCGCCGTTTTGATTAGAAGCGCCGGGTTGCGACGTTGCCATTTTTTAAAGTGGAAACCTTTAAAAATTCATATCTCCGCTGCATCTCAACCGATTTCAATGAACTTTTTTTTTTTAAATGCTCCTCTTAAATAGAGCTTTCTAGTGGTGTATAGTTTTCTGGGGTTCACTTGGCTGTAAGCGGCACTTACGCGGTTTTAGCAGTTTTTGATAGACACAAAAATTTTGTTTTTATTTTATCACGATCGTGGAATCGACGGAATCTGAACAAAAACCAGTCTTAAGGAGAGTTCAGGTTCTCACCTTTCTAACGAGCACAAGATCATTCCGGGGAAACGTTTAGTTTCCGAGATATGACCGCTCAAAGTTGGTCACATGCGCTTTTGCGGAATGTGAATGCGTGTTATCACTGAGTCATTCGCGAACTAGGGGTCCCTTACGTTCAATTTACGTTGAAATAACTACGCAGAGCAGTAAGGTGTACAACACGAGCCGTTTTTTCACCTTCGCCTGCCGATGTGCGACGTTGCCATTTTTTGAAGTGAAAACTCTTCAAAATGCACAACTATTTTTTGTACGAAAAATCTCTGCAAAGAACCATATAAACGACTTAAGTGCCTCCCTAAGGTAAATGAAATCCAGAAACCTGAATGCCATTAGATAGCTCTATTTAAGAGGAACATTTTAAATAAAAGTTCATTAAAATCGGTTGAAATCCAGCGGGGTTGTGCATTTTGAAGAGTTTTCACTTCAAAAAATGGCAACGTCGCACATCGGCAGCCGAAGGTGAAAAAACGGCTCGTGTTGTACACCTTACTGCTCTGCGTAGTTATTTCAACGTAAATTGAACGTAAGGGACCCCTAGTTCGCGAATGACTCAGTGATAACACGCATTCACATTCCGCAAAAGCGCATGTGACCAACTTTGAGCGGTCATATCTCGGAAACTAAACGTTTCCCCGGAATGATCATGTGCTCGTTAGAAAGGTGAGAACCTGAACTCTCCTTAAGACTGGTTTTTGTTCAGATTCCGTCGATTCCACGATCGTGATAAAATAAAAACAAAATTTTTGTGTCTATCAAAAACTGCTAAAACCGCGTAAGTGCCGCTTACAGCCAAGTGAACCCCAGAAAACTATACACCACTAGAAAGCTCTATTTAAGAGGAGCATTTAAAAAAAAAAAAAGTTCATTGAAATCGGTTGAGATGCAGCGGAGATATGAATTTTTAAAGGTTTCCACTTTAAAAAATGGCAACGTCGCAACCCGGCGCTTCTAATCAAAACGGCGACCGGTTTTGGGCGTCTCGGAAGCTACTGTATCACCCCAAGTGTTCAAGGTTCGAAAATGCCTTGAAGCATTTTTGGCCGTTTTTTCACACACCTCTTTGGGGACTTGAGGACGCACTGTTGAACAAATTTTGAACTTACAGAGATAATGTTGGGACAAAATTAAAGAAAATTGGCTCATTTCGCAGGAAAAAATCGTATGACTTTTGAACTGACATATTTGGGGGTAAGAAAATCCCCGTAAAATCAGTTTAAAGTGATGCCTGTGATGTTTTCTTAAAAGTGCTTACAACTTCGTAAATTTTCCCATTTTATTTTTTTCCTACAATAATTTGAACTGGAGTTGTGATTTCTTGAAAGAAGGTCAAATGTGACCCTTGATCTACCATGACTTGGTTAATAATTAAGATATTGATCTGCAGTTGGTGCCACAATCATTAGTTTTTCGTGTTCTTTCTAATGCGGTATCACAAGATAGGGGTTACCATTTGGACCCCCCCCCCTCCCCCCCCGAGGCAGGAGCAAAAATTTTCCTTCCTAGAGGATGGTCCCCTTTGAGATAGAAACATTCCCAAAGTATCATTTTTTTTATCTCGAACGGTCTAAAGTTCAGGGGGGGGGGGGCTAGTTTTTGAACAACCTGAATACTAAGAAGACGCAAATAAAATAGGAGTATGCATCTGAATATGTTCATTTTTTGTTTCTTTTTGATTGCAGTATTACCAGCGGGGATTTTACAGCCGATGTTCTACAACCAACACTCGCCAAAGTCCCTGAACTATGGTGGAATAGGGGTTGTCATTGGCCACGAGATCACACATGGATTTGATGACAAAGGTTAATTACTTTTTATCCGAATTGTTCACCTCAATCCTCATTAAGTTTGAAACTTAAGTCCTGGTCCTCTGAAGAAGAAGTAGATACCTCTTCCATTTTGTGAATTATGCCTCAGTGAATCCTCCGACATAAGTAATACTGTACAGAAGGGTGAAAACAAGAATTTGGGCCAAGTAGTGTTATGATCTATCGTCTCATGTAATCAGAGGCCTCGGTTTTTATGGAGACTTAGAATGCAAGAAAGTGGAATAGGTGGAAAGTGGAGTGGAATGCAAGTTCAATGCCTGTAAAGAGACAGGACATAGTCTTGAGGGATTTAGCATCAAAATGTCTCGGCGGCAAAGTACCTTTTTTTGGAAGGCTGTAAACATTTTTTTGTTGTAGACAAAAAAATCTAAGTGCACCCTGACCCTAAAAACCCTTTTTTTAGCTTTAGGTAATAGCTTAAATTTATAAAGCATAATACTGAAGCTATTAAGATAATTAAAAATTTTAAAACAAAAATAAATTAGATTAATTATTTAGTTTAAGAAAACACTATTTTTTCAATATAGAGATAAATAACAATTTAATAATTTTAGATAATAAAAACTTTTCAAAACATAGCTTCTAACTATGTAAAAGTAATATACATTTACTAAAGTTTTAGACTAAATAAAATAGAATTTGATCATAGAACTAGGGAATCAACAATAGGATACTATTTAGTTCAAGTGATTTTTTCTTTAGTCATACTTACATTTATCTTATTTTATATATTTAACTTAGGTTATATGTGTAGTTTTATTTTGACTTTGGGATTAATAGTTAAGATGGGTATATTTCCTTTTTTACCCTAAGAGCTAAAACCTTTTTTTAAACACTTTGATTGAATTCTGCGAGTTGGTTTTGTCAAAATTGCAAATTTGTAAAAAATGAGAGAGTGTCCACTTAACCCCATGGGTGGCCCATGGGGTGGGTTAACGGAACACAAGGGGTGAGTTATATGGACACATGCAATCTGTATAAATAAAATCGTTGGAGTTTCACTGTAAGGCCTTGTCTCGACAGCGCAACTGTTGTGGGAATTTGGTGCAACTGTTGCGCGTTTGTTGCGCCAACCGAAGTTCACTGTCTCGTCGCACACGCTTGTGTTCCTGGAACTTTTAGGCGGAAACATGTGAACAACATTAATTTGTCTAGGTTAAACGATGTCAACGGAGGTGACTGAACTGATATTTATCAACGAGAAGCGAATATTTTGCATTATTTCGACCGGGTATAACAAAAAACAATAACATAACACAGATATGGATGAAAAGAAAATATATCCAATGAAATTTTATTTTCCCGCTGTAGTAATATGGTGCTAACTAAAATATAAAATTGATACTGAAATTTAGACAAATATTTCTAAATAATAATCGCTCAGAAATAGAACTCCCGTAATAAACTCCCGCTCCCCCTAACAAGCATTTATCAATTCTGAACATGAAGATAAACAACTGTTCGAGGCTCCAGGTTTCTGACCTTGACACTTATAAGTGAAACATTTCTGCAACACCTTCCTTCAACAGTTGCACAAAATAGCCTCAACATTTGCGCCCTCGAGACAAGATCTCACGCTTATTTCTGGAGTTCCACCAGACCAATTTCAACAATGCTTAGTTCCGGTAGAAGCTATCGACGCCCTGATGTCCGGAAACTGTCAAACGTCTACATGTTTTAGCCTCTCTGCCTGATACGCTTTGAAAGTCAAATCTACCCTTCTCCACCCTTAAATTCCTGAAAGTTGCCATGAGTTTCCGCCTAATTTGAGCGATCTACCGGGGCGATTTTCTCGATTTTTGGGTCAACTGGAAGCTTCTAATGTCCAGATACTGGCCAAAATACGAAACTTTCCAATATTTCAGTCAAATCTGTATAAACCGCTGAAATATAAAAATCCACCCCCCTTCGTGCTACAGATTTGATCCGTTGAGACACTACACCCAAGACCCAAGGTTAAACTTGGACCCTTGTATAAGAAGACCGCAGTCTGTGTGGTTGTCATAAACCTGTCAAAGCAGCACGATGACATGAGTTGTCCCGTCCTTTTGTCTATAGTGAGAGTGCAACAGGAACCAGCAATCCTCAAGACCGAGGCTCAGCACGCTATGTGATCGATACCCCATTGTCTTATGCCTACCTAAATCTTACCCTCAAAATTTAAAAGCAGCAAGAATGCAGGTTTTTTTTCCATTCAAAAATCGTTGTTACAGTCTACAATTTTTTATTTATGGTTCAATTTTGAGCAGAATGGTGTTCAAGCAAATGAAAATAGATTATTTTACGGTACAATAAGATCCCTATACCACCACTGCTGCATTTCCAACTTGCTGAACGCTGTTTCTGTCACACATCAACATATCACAAAGAAATTTAGCTTATTGTAATCTACTTTTTTAGCAGAGTGTAAATTTACGAAGAAAATTAAAATCGATCCTAATCGGAGAAAGTTCATCAATTTTTTTGGAGCTTTAGTAGGCCGAGCAGGAAGAGAGAAAAGGGTGACGAATCTCAGAGATCCATTTTTGCTGCCTGTCTCCAGGCCCATGCGTAGGCCCCTTGAATGCTTTGACAAGACTTTGTCGGCCTCCGCAGACAAAATGTCATTTATTGCACGGTAACAAGTCAAAACATGATATTCTGACCAGGGAGTGGCATCATGAATCAGTGAAATTCTGAATAGCTTCGAAATGGCGGAAACTCGTTATTACGGACGTTTACTGATGGATTCGCATGAAACTCGGGGTTCTGATGATTTTTGACTCGAAAAGAACGACTCTTTTGAATTACATTTTTGAAACGCTGAATACTTTCAAAATGAGGACCGAGTTGCATGCGAATCTATCAGTAAACGTCCACAATAACGAGTTTCCGCCATTTTCACGCCGCCATTTTGAAGTTATTCAGAATTTTAAAAATCCAATGTAAGATTCGTTCTCCTTGTGCCGAAATACCCCCGGATACCAAGTTTCATGCAAATCCACCGATAAGCAGCCTAAATATTCTCTCACCACTCTGGGTCGCCATTTTTATCGCCACCATTTTGAAAAAGACAGAATTTTCCGGAAATCTTATGCCAGAATCGGTTTTCTCATCCCAAAAAACCTTTGGATACCAAGTTTCATCCCAATCCGTCAACATAAACGGAGATATCAAATTTCCGCTATTTTGAACTTTGCCCGGCCGCCATTTTTTCAAAAATCAAGATTTTGACTTGCGGTTTGTGCCAAAATTTTATTTTTTATCTTCTCTCGATTGATGTGTCACCAAGGGGGCCGGGGGGGTTGCCACTTGAAAAAAAAGTGGGGGCTCTTAGCCCCTCCCTGTAGGATGGCTCGAAAATTTTGGGGAGCCCAAAAGTACCTAACATTGATCTATGAACATCCTCTAAGTTTCGTTTCAAAATATTAATTATGCAAAGTTTAAGGGGTGGAGGGGACTTTTGAGACACCCTGTGCATGTATACAATGTTCGCTCGAAAAGCAAGGAAGCTACTGCACAAGTTATATTCGCTCCGGAATCGTTCATTGCAGCGTTTTTCATAATGCTATGTATCTTTCTTCTTTGAGCAAGCCTATCACATGTATAAACCCATATCTGTCACAACCCTATCCTGAAGACTTTGTTTCATGCATAAAAAAATGTTTTCAGTAAAAGTAGAGGATGTCATATTTTTTTCAAATCGCTGTTACTCCTTCAATTTTCTACTTACAGTAATCATAAAATGCGTGTTTTTTACAAGAAGAGTTGCTCTTCCTGAAAATCTTTATAAGAATGCCCTCAGTTGTACGGGCGGCAAAGTGCAAACCTTCGAAAACTTCAAACGCGATTTTCTCACCATGTGAAAACTCGACATCCGCTATTGTTACATATAAGTACTCATTTGCTTCATAAGAAATTCCTTGACCAAACCTTCCTTAACTGAAGCATCTCAAAAAGCGACACTTAAGTATAAAACTTTAAATATGATTTTCTCAAAACTGAAGAATCAGACATCGCTCTTTTGTTACATACCCACAAGAGTAGGGAGAAAATGGGGATTTGAGCGCAAAAGTTTTTAGCCAAATTGTGCAGAAAAATACGAATTAAATTACAGTGTTGTATGGGGATTATTGTTCAATATGGCAACGCTGTAAAATGAAAGTATTGCATGTTGCCCCTTCAATATGCGGGTTATGCAATAGTGTAATGTTGCCCCTTCATTTTGCGGGTTATGCAATGGTGTATTTTTCAAGATGGCGCAGCAGCGTTGCCGAACGGGGAACGTAAATAAATGATTTATTCAGTGGTGAAATTTTGCAACATGAAATTTTACAGTGTTGCCAGATGGGGCGAGAAATTAGTTGATTTTTTTCGTACACTGTTGCCAGATTGTGCAAAAAATTCGGATTTTTGGACTTGTAAAATTTTTTGGTTTCGGAAGACCGTATCTTGCAGTATGGGCCTGGTATCTGATACTGTAGATTAGAGTCTGATTCGGTAAAATTGAAAATTTTTCGGAAAATCAGCATCCTCCGATCCGTTGCGGACCGATGCGATTTTTTCCATTATCGAAGATCGGAAAACTGTACGGACCAAATTTCAATACGACTTTTCGTTTTCGAGATTTCGGACTTGTAAAAATTTTCGGCTTCGGAAGACCGTATCTTGTAGTATGGGTCTGGTATCGGATACTGGAGAATAGGGTCTGATTCGGGAATTTCAAATTTTTTACTAGTGTGCGCTTGGAGATGCGTATGGGAACCTTGTGTGTTTTGCGATGAGCGACTGGGAATGGATATTACAATGTTCAGTTAGATGAATCAAAAATTTTTATTATTTTTTTATTGGATATTTACAGTTACAGTTTAAAAACAGTTCGCGTTTAGAAAACGCACTAAAATGTGAGGATTGTCAACCACAAACATTGATTCCTTCTCCTTCTCCGAACTTTAAATCTACACTTATGTCATCGACTTTCCGATTGTTATTTT